TCTGAGCAGCTTGATTAGCCAGAGTGAGATTAGAAGTTGCATTATTGGCCTTCAAACATATGGTGTAGCATATTATATATCACCTATAATCTCTACTACAGCAGGAGTACGGACAGCTTGTTTTCCACTAACTGTAAATAGAAATTACTTTAATCATTCCTAAAATGTTTACATGTAATTGGAGAAGTGTCCAATAAAAAAAAGAACTGTAAAGTTCTATAAACTACCATTACAAAACAAAGCACACTCTGTTATATTAAATAAATTAAAATGTAGATGTTTAATAATAATAAATTCCACTTTAAACATGGGAAACAAGACTCATGATACAAAATGGGTATATCTTTGTTATTCTTCCTCTTGCATGTGTCTTAGTGTTTCTCTATTAATAAATGCTAGTACTCGTCTCATAATTTATATTTTCAAGATGCTTCAGGAGCATGTACCCATATCTAAGCTGTATCAAATGGGGCAGTACATATTGTCCATCTTGGGGCATCATTATGTATTTTTGTTTGCTAGTTATGAACAGCTTACAACTACCACACACTTCATTCTGAGCTTTTTAATGTTGTAAAACCAGAAAGATTGGAAGGTTATTATTATGGTAGACATTCTGCACATTACAAAAGTGGGAAGAGAAAGGATGAGGTAATTTCTTCTTTTAAAATAATTGTTTCCTGCTAAAGAGCCCGATCCTGCACTGTAAATGTGTGGTTTCATACCTAATTTATTTTTAAAGGAAGGATCCTACAGAGAGAAGTTTCTCCATTAAATGTTTAATTACACTTCTTTCAATAAGCCAGAGAGACTTGTCTTACTGAACAGTTCTGTTCGCTGATCTGCCACTTAAAATATCACATGACTTCGGATTAATTACATAAAGGCTGTGACTTGTTCCCTCTATCTGTAACAAAGAAATACTTCCAACATACCTTGAACTAGTTCTGAATGTGACTAATATACATGATTTTGTGCTTCTCCTCAAAAGCACTGAAAACTAAGATCAGGTTTTGTGTGTGATTTTCATTATCATTTCAAAATAAAAGGAACTTGGAATAAAAATAGTGTGTCTCCTTTGGTTGTATCTATTTTCAATCAAATTCAGTTCGGTCAGCATTTTCAAGACTTCTAAAAATGCAAAAGCTTACTCATAGTGCAGGCTACTTATGCTGCCTTCCATTTGTGCCATTAGGAATATGGTTTTTGTAGGTAACATAAAAAACCCCTAAACTTGTATGGTTCATGTTATCGGTTAGTTCATATGAACAATAGATGGGAATTTACCCAGCAAGCGTCTTTACAGGTAAAGCTGAATTTTTCATGTTTGACGGAAGAGTGGTGGTAAATACACAAGCTCAGCCTCCACCATTTCTCTGTTAAATTGATCTGGGAAAAACCAGATTTCTTAGTTTTCCAAGCAGTTCTATCTTCATTTCTTCAGCCATGTTCACCTAGCTAATTTCCACTACCAACATTTTCATCCTGCATCGTAACTCTTCTTTTGTTAGTACATTCATATGTAGTAATAAAGCAGTTTACAGTTGTTTTTGCCTGAAATGCTGTTTAGATGTGTTAAACATTTATTTGTCTATATATCTTTAGTTTTATTTAGCAGGACATGTAAGTTAATCTAAAGAAACGGGGAACAGCCTGCATCAGAAACATGAGAAATTTTTCAAAACATGAAGCCTCCATCAGGGTCCATCAGGGAGCTGAAAATTTACGTGTCCGGCCCATAGTGCTTTGTAGGGTTGCTGTACCCAGTCCATCTTCATGACAAAGTTGAGAGTTCAGTTTCTTTGAGGACACATTGTTGCAGTCATAAATCACGTTTCACTTTGTCTCGAGTTTTTTGTTGAGAGGTCTGACCAAGAATCTGTTGGAAGTTTGTGACCCACTCAAACAAACCACATCATTCAATTGATCATATCTTTTCACTGGGTTCCTCTACTGTCCTCTGCCTGAACTGACTTCAGATACATTAAGAGATTTCTATGAAAACGTAAGTTTGCCTCTTTGCTGTATTTTTGTAAAATTAGATCAGATATCTTGAAAAACACAGACACTAAACCAAAGAAATATATCTAATGCATATAAGTGGCCATAAAATACCAGGTTTCTGATAGTCTTCTGACCCAGATAGCACAGTAACACTATGCTAGTAGGAAATAAAGTGCAGTCTGGTGTATCACTGAAGGCTGTGAAATGTACCAGTTTATATTACCTAATTACAATTAGAGAATTCTCTTTGCTTAATACGTTTTGGTAATTTAAAATTCTAGCAGTTTTCAAAATGCCTTGTGCCTTATCTGTGGGAAAGAAGATACATATCTGGTGTGATACACACATATGGATCCTCACATTAAATCATGTTAAAGGCAATACTATCTATATAAATAAGTATTTTTACTAATGATCTTGACTGCCACGTTTTTTCATGCTTTTGTCCATCATCCTGAAAAACAGGTGAATTAGGTTCTCTACTTTGGGTTTATACAGTCAAAAGTGGCTGTTGAAAAATATGGCAAAACGAATTTGAAGAGAAAAACTCTTAAGAGTGCACCGCAAAGCAGATGTGTCTCCAAAGATAAGTTTAAGCACACTGTCAGGGAGATTCAGAGCAGATACTGCAAAAGCTGTCAGAAATGTGCCTGGTGGAGGGGAATCTGTGTTTCAGACTGAGGACTTCTGCGGCAGCATGGGTCTTACTGCACATCTTACTGGCTGGAGCCTTTAGCACAGAACATGAATAAATCAGTGCCGCTCACTGAGTTAGCTTGATTTTCACTCAGTTTAGATCAGAATTTTTACTTGTGTGTTTGAAAATACGTAAGCCAGGAATGACAGAAGGGATGTAAAGCTAAAAAGAAGACCAGTAGTAGCAAGTGTGCAACACCTTCACCATTTGCTATGTATTATAGTAGTCAGCATGTAAGTGTTAGGAAAATTCTTGCAGGGTTTAAAGGTTAAAGGTAATGGTTTAATAGGGAAGGTGTTCGTCTTCCTCTCTGCCTTCTCATTTCAGTGTGACATGTGGTGGTTGAATAGCATCACTGAGGCGAAATTGTTACAAGAAGGCAAGTTCAGGTCTCACATAAACAGAGGAAATTCTTACTGACTTCAGAGGGAATTGAACACTGACTCCAGTCAGTGAATTTTACTCTTTGCTCATGCATCCCAAAGTCATAAAATTTGTTTTTCCTGCCCTTAGTAGTAAAACAACAAAAAAAACATTATTGCTTCAAGATGTGGTGCTTCCAATATTAAAAAATGTCTTGATGTGACAGAGTGTAACAACCAGCATCAAACATCTGAAAGTCAGGTGTCTACTCAAAGTGAGTCTACACTCAAAGGAGAGAGACAGGCACACTCAACGGGCGTTTAATCCCATGCTCAAATAGATGCCTAAACTAGATCAGGTAAGCTTTCCTCAGGATTTCCTTGTTCCGTTGACTATAGAAGGAGCTCAGTGATAGCTGAGAATAAATTCCTCCCAACAAGTGTCTGATTCTGGTTTGTCTTTCTTTTTCTATTTTAGAGTAAGACCATCAGAATTTTTGTTTGTGAAATTCATTTGTTGTTTGCAAAAGATTATCAGACTTTTTAGCAATTACTTACTTTTACTTTCAGACTCTTAATTAGTCAGTGTTTTAAGACTAATTTACGCTGTGATGAATTGTGTGAAAAGTGGTGTTCTGTGTAATACTAGATGAAGTTATTTCTTAAAGTAAGCTTCAGCAGACTTGTATTTCTTTTTTTCCTTTAAGTCTAACATTTGTACAAAGTCTTTCGGGATAGATTCAAGTAACAGAAATGTTAGAAAAGTTTTTCCTCTTAAGATTTGTTCATTATTTATTTTATTAATAATATTATTTCTGCTGATTTACAGAAGACTGGAATGTCCTACAAACATCTCACAAAGCCGTATTTATATGCCAGCTTGCTATTATATACAGGAAAAACATTTGAATTTTTCTAGACAAGTGAGTGGCTGCTTTTTCATGGGTGGAAAGCTTGGCATGCTGACAGCTGTTTGACTATGGCCTAGTTAGCTCGAGCAGGGGTTTCACACTGTGTCTGCCACAGCAGCTTGGTGCATAACCTAAAGCTCTTCCGCAGGACTTTTGTCCCTTACTTAAACAACCACATGGACTTGCTGTGTCTTTCCCACTCACACATATATTCCTGAGAGTGTGCGTGTAGGTGGGTCTTTACGCATATGTACACACTTCATCTCACTGTATAACAAATGGAAAATAAAGCTGTGTCCAAAACAGCACGTACACAAAAAATGCATTCTCAGAGCTTAGTGGACAAACTAATAATCTTATGACAAGTTTTTCCAAGTTTTAGTTTTCAGTTAGGAGTGACTGAGAACACGATTCTCTCTGTGGAGACCGGGTGACTGAGGTGGCAGCTCTTGCTCCATACTCCAGGATGTCCGTGGCATTTTTATCCCTGTATAAATCAGACTTCCTTAAAAGACTAGCCGAGCAAGAAAGGTTTTCCTATACTGAAGTGATGTATTACGCAAATATTTTTCTAGGTTAAGTGACTTTATTGTGTAAAACATTTACTGCTTTAAGATACTTATTTTGCTGTCTGTTTTAGTCATATCTTTTGAAACAGTCTCAATAGATTTTTCCATTCGTAACATTATGACACTTGATAAGATGATTGATTATGAAGTGTTGAGAGCCCTGCCATGTGATCATTTATTTTTAAATACACATTTGTACTAGCCAATGCTTAAATTTCTTTCAGGAATACATAAGAGATGAGAAACATAAAGCTTGAGTCTGATCGAATCTGATGCCTCTGGAAATAGAGTGCCACAGAACTCTGGTCTTAAAATAACAGATTCTGACTGAAACTGGAACTTTGCAGTGATAAATATTATGTAAAAAATTATGGTCCATCTTTGGTACAAAATAAAAAAGATGTACAGTCATGGTGCAGGCGAGCTAAAACACACTTGACGATGATATCTTTCTTTCCCTGTGCAGGTGCCTGTGTCAGTGGCCATGATGACTCCCCAGGTGATCACCCCTCAGCAAATGCAGCAGATCCTCCAGCAGCAAGTGTTGTCTCCGCAGCAGCTTCAAGCCCTTCTCCAGCAGCAGCAAGCAGTTATGTTGCAGCAGGTAATGTGGGTTACCTGCTTTGGATCCTTAGCACAGGGCATTCACACGAGTATTGGCCAGATTTGTAGGGGTCTTATTTTGTAATATTTCTTCGCTCATTACGCCGAAAAGAATGAAAATAAATGCGAAACTTCTTGTTTTAATTGCAGAGGTGTGAAATTGCGATTTTGAAACGTTAAATATTACATTAAAAACAGGAGCAGCAGCAGTGGTGGATGCATTACAAATACTGAACAAATTGATATTTAAATTTTCAAGTGCTTAGGCACATTTTAATTGTAGACTTGCCAAAGGAAGTGCAAATAGAGTTGTAGATAATTGTTGCTTTAAAATTCATAACACTGTAGTGCTCCCTTTAGCCACGTAAATGGTATGCGGTTATGAAATTTGAACTTAACAGCTTGTTCCATCATGGGAAAAAGTTGTTTTATTTTGTGGTTTGGGTTTTTTTGCCTCCAAAAAATTTGTCCCAGATAAGTCTAAAAAGAAGGAGAGGGTTGCTGTTTCCTTAGCACAAAATCTGGCAGCTAAGTGAAGAATCCATTAAATTGTTATTCATACAATAAGGTTAGTGTCAGTGATCAGAACCTTAGTGTAACATAGAGGGAAATTTTGGGTGCGTGCTTAATTGTCATACAGAAAATGATGTGTCTGTTTGTCATAGTCATAGCTCCATCACTGTGTGTTTAAACACTTTAATATCCAGTACCATGATCATTACACACAATTCGCCTTCAGTTGTGAATCCAGCATCCCACTAAACAGATTGACAGATTAATTACTTTTTTCCCCTAAGAAACGGACAGTTTAGTTTGGCCTTAGTGACTTGTAGGTTTCTTGCAAGTGGATGAGTACAACTTCTGATTTGTTACATAGGACATTTGAGGAACTTACGCATAGTTATTTGAGGAGTTAATTTGGCTCTTGCATTCCCTTTAGAATACAGATTTTCTATACCCTTCTGTTTAGGATATTTTGGAATCTGCATTGGAAAATTTCAGAACCGCCTTGGAAAAAAATGTATGTAGATCTGCCTCTTCAAATCACATTTTTTGTTATGAGGTGATTCTTAATGGCTACGCTACCATATGCCAATCTAGAAGAGTTTAGGAGATATATAATACTTGAAACTTTTGCCTTTATTTATTAAAGTCAAAATGGTTTATTCAGCAACAACTACAAGAGTTTTACAAGAAACAGCAAGAGCAGTTACATCTTCAGCTTTTGCAGCAGCAGCAACAGCAGCAGCAACAGCAACAACAGCAGCAGCAGCAACAGCAGCAACAGCAGCAGCAGCAACAGCAAAAGCAGCAGCAGCAGCCACAGCAACAACAAGCAGACAAGTCAAGTGCCACTTTCATGCCAGGAGGAGCAGCAGCAGCAACAGCAGCAGCAGCAGCATCCAGGAAAACAAGCAAAAGAGGTAGGAGCTAAGACCCTTGCTGATGCATACTAGTCTGAGCTGTCAGAAGCTCGGAAAAGACAAGACTAGTTTAGATTTATTTTTTCCTGTAGCAAGGATGCAGCTATCAAAGATTTGTTCATATGTTTTTACTGGGCTTAATAGCAGTGCCGGTATAATTCTCCTGCTCCCCTTTCTGAGACACAGGATTTGAGCAGTCTAGTGCTGCTGTCGGCTAATGTTCGCTAATGAATCCGAGTGTGCAAAGAACAAGCTGTGTGGTGGACACTGTACTGATTATCTTGTATTCGCTGGCAGTCTGTGTTGGGAAAGGAGCCTTACTTTTCTCAGTGGCACAGCTCAGAGAGCATGCAAATTTAGTCCGTGGCTGAAAAAGAGCGACTGAGCACAGATTTCAGAGTCACAGGCCCCTGATTAATGAACTGCTACTGTAGGTTTGGAGTGGCGAGTAGAAAGTTACAGTTTGATGTGCTCATAAATCAACCTGACAAGCGGGTTTCTCAGGCCTAGCTTGCACTTGTCAGCAAACTGCATCAAATATAAACATAATACAAACAAAACATGTTCAAGTAGTTAAATTGATCAGCAGGTATCCTAGACGTTGTCTTCAAGCTGCCCATTATGCAAACGTCGAGGAAGCAGTTGTGACCTCCTGAGGCTTTGTTTCTGTTTGGATTTGTGAATAGATTTTCAGACAGCCATCAACTACGGAATAGAAATTGCTCCCGTATTTCTCCGGAGGCTCTGGGCAATCCACATGACTTGCTCCATTATGCAGTCTGTTTTCCAGTGAGCGCATCAGAAGTTTCTCTTTTCCCCAAACTAGAAAGGAAAGGTCTTCCATAGCAGCTTGTCTTTCTCTGAAGTGTGACTGCCTTCCCATACCCTCCTGAGTCTTTGCAGACTCCGGTTTGTCTTGAAATGCCTCATAAAATTAGAACTTATACTTTTGCTTCATAATAGGGCACTTTGCCTTGAATGCTGTGCTCCTTTTAATATATTCCAACAAGAGAAGAGAGAGAGCTAACAGGCCAGTGAAATGAAGGCTACATCCCAGTTTACTAATAGATCACTGGAGACTATGTTCATGGGCCACTAAGACCAAACTTAGTCAACTGGAAAAACAAGAGTGCTTTTGAATCACAGACTGCTGGAAAGAGTTACACTTTTAGCATAGATAAATTTGTTATCATCTGCCATGAGCTAGGCTTTTTTTTTGTTTGAAATAGCTGTTACATACTTTCTCTTGACCCTTTTCTTTAGTGTGTCATTAAGTGTATCTTGCCATTTTCCCTAACAACTATTAGCTTGAATGAATATAATAGAAATTTCAAATGCTTTCACTGCCTGAGTGTTCTACAAATAGCATTATTATTTAATAACTGAGATTAAAGGGAAAGAAGTTGATTTTACATTTTTTGCTTCCTAGCCTTCACAGCACACTTTACTCTTTGTTGTATTTGCTTTTTTTCCCCCTTCTATCTGTAGCAGCAGCAGCAGCAGCAGTTGGCAGCCCAGCAGCTTGTCTTCCAGCAGCAGCTCCTCCAGATGCAACAACTTAGGTGCTGCGGAACCTTCAGCGTCAGGGACTCATTTCCATCCCACCTGGCCAGTCTGCTCTTCCTGTCCAGTCTCTGCCACAAGGTATTCCAGTAATCTATGATTGAAGGAGTTTCTAATTCATAACTTTTTAAACTGTTGATTTGCATCCAAAATTCAGCAGTTTCCTATTACGACACTTAAACATACTTTGTTGTTAGAACTTTGCTAATATGACCAAATTTTCTGGAGGCTGATAAATTTTTCAGCATACTTCTATGGAAGAAAGCAACTTTTGAGTGTTTTTCATAGATGTAGGATGCATATTATTAGCCTCATGTGCTGAAAACAATTTATAATAGCAACACAACTCAAGTACTTTTCTCTAAGGAATTACTGAAATCTGATTTAGTGGAAAAGTTAGCATTCCATTTAATATAAGCGAACAGATATAAAATATATCACTAATATTAAAGCCATATCAAAACTGATTTTTTTTTAATTCTAAGAAAGGAAAGTGTTTGGTGTTCATACTATTCCTTTGTATTAAGTATGTTAAATATGACAACAATTTTTAAGGAGGTGATTCCAATAGTAATGAATTATGACTGACAAATAACAGTAAAGACTTCTGAAAAAAAATTTCCCTTTGGCACTTTGATCAAGACTCCTCAATGCTGAAAATGAGCTCAAACTCTACTACTTGACACAAATACATTCCCAGTCAAAAGAAAATAGGGCACACACTTCTGAAAAATAGATTAACTTGGAGATAAATGCTGCTTACATTTTAAGATAAGGCCAAAGGCTTCCCATCTTAACAACTCTCTCTGTAACCTGGGAGGTATGTGGTTCTGTTTGTGTTACCATAGAGAGGTAAGCTAAATGACTGTCATAAAAACTACACAATACTCTCATCTCTGATGCTCCAGTCCTGCAATAAGCATTGTTTAGACTGTGTTCATGGCAGGTAACATTACTTTTAATTGGTCTTTACGCATGTATCTGTTTTCTCCACCAGATAACTATTATGAAATCGAAGCTTCAGAAAATAGACGAGTAAAAGCAGAGTACACAGTGTATAGACAACAATGTAGACAAAAATACAAAACAAAACAAAAAAAGCAGAAAGGAGGCAGGAGGAACACTTACCCACTAAAAACTTCAGTCTCTGGAAGGCAGAGATTACAAATAAATGTTTAAATTACACACATTGTGTTGTGTGGAAAAGCTATGACACAAACATATCTAAAGTCACAAAAATTACAACAACAAAGAAGAGCCCTAAGCTATCACACTAAGTATTATTATTTGAGAGTAGCAGTGGGGAGGCAAGCTGTGTCATGAATTTGGGCACATGAGACTGGAAATGCTGCTTTCCTTTTGTGCAAAGTCACATTGGACCAGAATGGAAAAAAGCAATTGAAACACAATCTCCCTCCAAACAGCTTTACCTTCTACAACCTCCTCTTGTGCCATCTGTTGCAAGAGGAATTCCTCAGGTTTTCTCTCACATTAAGCAATCTCCATAGATTTCCCTCAGCACTCCTACCCAATTGCATTGATATTCATTAGTTTAATGCAACACTCATTCATCCACTTCTAGTAGAAAAAAACGTAGAAAAAATAATACCTTTATAAATACATTTTTAGGAGAACTAGTAAACAGTTCTTTAAAATAACTTTCTTTTACTGAAAGAATTAAGCATAACTGAGGTCATGACAAAAAAGAGTGATACTGAAGAAATAAGTAAATTAATCTCTTGTTTGCTTCTGCCTTGATATTTTTAAATTATAGTGAAATGTCTCCTGAATCTAGTATCTGCTGTGTCTGTAGGGTCCCTTTAGATACACAAGTTAATTTATAGGACCTCAGTTTTTCACAGCCCTGTTGTGGATGTGCAGAATTTTAAAAAGCCAGACAGTTTCCCCTGGAAAATCTCTCTGCATCTCCAGAAAAGCCACTCACACTATGCCAGTCGAAGTTAGTGATGATGGTCTTTCCAGCAAGGTGCTAAAACAAAGAGATAACCAAATGCAGAGCTGTTACAGGCTCAGAGTTCTTTCTGTGGGCTTCTCCTACAGCGCATTGTGTCCTTCATAGGAAGGTACAGCACCCAGTCCAGTTCAGAGCAGTGCAGTGAAGATTAATAGGCATCAGATCTGCTGAGACTTTCTCATTAATCTTAAATTTATATATCAGAATACATCCAAATATAATCTACTAATCCAGGTAGTATGTACTAGATTTAACATAGATGTCCCTGCATTAGGATTTGTATAAAAGTAAGATCAAACTTCCTTTGTTTTTCTCATAAAATTTATCAAATTTTATGACAGATATTTTCTGGAAATACTGAATTAAACTTTTAGGATTTGTTTAAGGTGATACATGCTGGATGTGGTAAAAGGATGTTTTTCTCCTTCCAGTATGCTGCAAGATGTATAACATGCTTATACAGAAGGATGTACATATTTGTAACACAAATATTTTTATGTGCATCCATTTAGATTGCTGAGTTACATGGATGGCTGGCACAATGGGAGAAACACAGGGGGATTGATGTTTATAAGTTACTGGTCATAAACAGTCCTGTAAAACACAAATTATTAGTGACAAAGAAAGCATGGGTTTTGCATTTGTTAGTATGGAAAGACATAATTTCCAAGTACATCTGTGAGGTTTGCGGATATTAACAGTATTTACTCCCAGGTATGGTTTCTGCCTTTGAAGGACACAAACGTTTACTATGTTTTCTTGATGATCAGGTATAGCAAATGTGAATGAGATGTTTTAGCATTTGTTTTGTGACAAGATCTTCACTTTGCCATATCAAACCAGTAGCTCACTGTGAGTTACTTCCATGTAATGCTGCATTGATGCTAGCTAAATGCAAAGATTTTAAATGACAAAAATAAATTAAACAAAATTCAATCTGAATATGAGGAAAATCTTTTTTACTGTAAGGGTTACAGAGCACTGGAACAGGCTGCCCAGAGAGGTTGTGGAGTCTCCTTCTCTGGAGACATTCAAAACCCGCCTGGATGTGTTCCTCTGCAACCTAGTCTAGGTGATCCTAGGGGATTGGACTAGATGATCTTTTGAGGTCCCTTCCAATCCGTAACGTTCTGTTCTGTGATCCTGCTCTGGCAGGGGAGTTGGACTGGATGATCTTTCAAGGTCCCTTCCAACTCCTAAGATTCTGTGATTCTATGAAAACAAACAAACAAACAAAACCCTAAGTTTAGATCAGGCCATGTAGGAAAATGAAAAACAGATGCATGGATATGTTTTATAAGTGGTAGTTGTTATCAAGTCCTTACTCAAACATAAAAATAGAGTCGGTAGTGGTGAAAAGAGTTATAAAACTAACCTCAAAATCCTGAAATTCTTGGTATTAGTAAACTGAACAGCAAATCAGTATTTGCCCTTTTCATTGCAGTCCCTAATTTTTGTCCCATTCCACATCCTCTTCCTTATCCTTTGTCCTCTAATGCAGTGTGGAGAGGGTATTTTGAGGGTTATCTCAGACTATGAAACTTTAAGACTTACCTTACTTTTACATCGAGACTAAAATACCTGTCAGCCATTTTACAGGTCTCTTGTAAAATGGGAGTCGGACTCTTATAGACACAGAAACTACAAAATTGCCATAATTTACTATTAATTACAAATCCACTTATTAACTATACATTTTAAGTGCCTGCCCTTAATCCTTTTATCCTAAAAGGCAGCCTTTCAGAGTGCTCTGAAGAAGTGATAAAATTAACCAGCCTAAGCCCAGAAAGAAATGTATTTCTGATTAAAATAAAAAAAAATAGAGGTGAGATGGGCAGCCTGGAGTCACAGCTCCATCCAGAGCTCCCGCAGAGGAAAGGGCCGCCCAGCAGTTGCCCAGAGGGGCAGGAGACCCCTGTCCATGGGAATGGTCATTGCTCTGGCTGCTCTCAGCCCTCATTCATTTACCCAGAAGCTGAGGCAGCTCTTACTTTGCTCCCCCCCGCCCCTGCTCAAAGTTTTATGATCCCTGATGAAAATTTTCTTGGTGCAAGGCTCAACAATATGTTTGCCCTCTGGTTATTCAAACAGATGGATTTATTCTTGTTTTCTTATTTTTTCCAGTACAAAATTAGTTTATTTTGTTTAACAGCAGGAGGAAGGGAAGACTTTGAAGTAAATAATGTACTGTGTGTATCATGCCACCTAAATGAATACATTGCTTTTCATTTTGATTTGTGATTGCATTTGCAGGTAACTGTTATTTACCAGGCTAAAATGGGTTATTTGCAGTGTTGCTGGAAAATACCTCATGAACATGGCAGTAATTACTTACCTTCATTAAACAATTACAACTAGTATTACCATCACTGCTGTTACCCATCTCTCTAATGCAGTAAATTAGAGCCTGGCTTCTTTGCTCGCTTCCTTAAAATCTAGCTTTTCACTGTACAAATATGATACTAACTCCAATTTTAAGACATACATTCCAATCAGTTCTTTGTCATTTTGTCATTAGCTGAGTTTGCGAATGGGTGTTGTTATCTAAGGTAGAGAAGCAGGACAAAAAATAGTAGCCTAAAAATGAGCTTCTTTCATAATTTTTAAAAAATTGAATACCTTCCAACCAATTTGTTTTCACACTATCTCCAGAAATTATTATTTCTGTAAATCACGACTAGTCTGTTTTTTAATAGCTTTGTGTACTTCATGGTGAGACAGCTGTTGAGAAGTACTAGGGAACTTATAGTGCTTTTTCATTATTTTTTTGTTGAATGCATTTTACTAGTCTGAGTTCCTACATCTTCAAAGTAAAACGTTATCCAATAAACAGATTTGCTAAACAATGAAAAAGAATCTTTACATCATTCTAGTATATCTTGTTTACCAGACAGAACTATCCTCAGTGAAAAGTTTGAATGTATAGATGCACTTTAATCCTTTTCAGAAGGACAGTAAATTTGAGCTCTTTCATAAAATAAAGAGTAAAATTTTAATTCAGGCAACATCTGCATTTTGAATGTTTCACATTCCAGCTGATCTAGATATCCTGAGCATGTCTTACCTAATTTCACTTGTTGAGACTGTGCTTTGAGAGTCTTTACTTCAGGCTCACACGTACTGTAATGGAAGCTTCCTTGACTTTGTGCAAAGTGCTCAACTCAAGCCAGGCAACCCTAACACAGACGTATGAATACAGTTTACAAGACATTGCTATATGTGGCCAAGGATGAATCCTGGAAATGTCAAGTTTCCAGGCTACAAGTGGAGTAGAGAGCAAACTTAACCTCTATCTGCAGAAATCTGGTGGCTACACTCCAGAATAGTCCTGTGCATAAAGCAGAGAAGTTTGAGAAGCTCTTCAGATTTTGTGTGGCTGCCCATCACCCTAGGAAACTGGTGAAACAGAGTCTTCTCTCTCCTAGCCAAACCTTCTGATCTGTTTTCCACAGGAGGGCTGGACAAAATAAATAGTGGAGGAATTTGATTGTCTACACTGTATGTAACTTCATCTGTGCAGAGGGAGTTGTACATGGGCCAGTTTTGTTTTCTAGTTGTCTGGTACTGAAGAGCTTAAGCAGTCACCAGTATCTAGCTCTGAGCTGTACTGGTTTTGCTCTTCCAAATAGTCACTTTGGTTTTGCTTCTTAAGACACATTTTAAAACAGAACAGTTTTGTAAATATTAAACAGGACTACTGAATATGTGGGTGGTGTTAATTAAAGTCAGATGCATTCTACTCTAATGTTAAACCTGTTATGATCTCATTGATTTCATTTTAGTCTTCTGCTATTTCTCCCTCCAGTCTTCTTCCCCCCACTCCCTGCTCTTATTAAGTCTTTAAAGAGAATATCAATGTTTGTATCCTTAGTTTAATATTTTTTCTATTTTCTGTTACATGTTTGATTAAGAGGAATTATAAAACCTGACTTAACTGTGGATGCCTTGATTTATGTTTCCATGTCAAGAAACAGATAAAGCAGACCAAAAAAAACTTGTCTGGAAGTATATTTAGGGTTGTTTTTCTTTTTCTTTACAAGAAGTTGCAAGTTCTTTGTAGCTTTCACTCTTTGTTCATTGAGCAATGTTCTCAGAAGGACTATAATGTTATTAGAATCGGTGATGTTTAATTGACTGTTTATAACACAAGAAGAGACAGTTAGATTACCTGGATTCTGACAGAAGAAAAATGAGTTTATGTTTTACTACACGTTGATTGTGCTGGAAAAAACAGCATCAGCTTTATTGTTGGCATTAATCCATTAATAACACTGAGCTCATTATGTGAAACTCTTTATTTTGTTATATTAGTGGGGCTCTCTTTCATTTTATAGCTGGCTTAAGTCCTGCTGAGATTCAGCAGTTATGGAAAGAAGTGACTGGAGTTCACAGTATGGAAGACAATGGCATTAAACATGGAGGGCTAGACCTCACTACTAACAATTCCTCCTCTACTACCTCCTCCACCACTTCCAAAGCATCACCACCAATAACTCATCATTCCATAGTGAATGGACAGTCTTCAGTTCTAAATGCAAGGCGAGACAGGTAATTCTGACGAGATTTCAACTGTGCTTATCATTTGACTTAAAGCTGTTGTTTAACATCATAAGTCACATTATTTCCCATCACAAAATAATACAGGTTACTTAAGAGATCCTGGAGACCTGATTTTTCAGAATTGTTTACCAATAGGACGTCATTTTCAATAATGATGTCTAATTTTGCAGACTCAATGACAATTACCTGCCTGTGGTTTTATAACACATGAACTTATGGTATTTTTTGTGAAAATTAGAAATCCAAGAATACAGTGTGCTGGTTTAGAGGTGTAAATGCAGAATTGTGGACTCTTTTGTAGACATGTTGTTTCATTCATATGTGAGTTAACACATCTAGAAGTCAGACCCTTACTGTTGAATCACATTGCTGGTTTCATAGAAAATGTACGTATATCTTAGTTGTCAAGACTGTAATTCAGTGCAAAGATTCCATGTAAAAAGTGCTTTAAAAATAAATCCATTAAAGCAGTTCTCATATTGTTTGTCTCTTCTGAAGAAAGCAATGAAATTTTCCTTCTTATATGCATGACAATAACACAGTTGACACATTTCTTACAAATTTTTGGTGGCCTTAGTGTACTACGGTGGAATTCAACCATATGGATAACGTGAAAATCACTTTTCAGAAACATTGACAGATATGCTTCACTGTTCCTTATTTTCAAATAATGGATTAAATGCATACAAGAGTACATAATATTTGTAGCACTTCCTGGTAAATGTATTAGTATAATCAGGTGTAGATGATCTCAATATAAGATGAAATTTAATTCATATATACATAACCTAAATTTTAAATAATTGCATTTTCAAATACATATTCTATTTAATTATTTTTATATTTATAAGAAGATATTATAATTTAAGTGTCTCTTGTCCTCGTGTGACTGTGAGAACACTTTTCTATTGTTATTTTATATTACTTAAAATGTGGTACTTCTCTGAATATCTTTATAATAGTATTTCTAGTTAGTACTATTGCTTTTGTGATTGTATCTCACAGAACCTTTCTTTGCTTCAGAATATATAGCTGACGCCCACCTCTGTGGGACAGTCCCCTGAATCTCTTTGATAACTGTACATGAATGAAACTATTGTAGAGTTTCCCAAAAAAGACACAGACTACAGCTGGGTTTTTTGAAGAAGCCAAGTAATTAACGGAAGCAATACTTATGAACAAAACCAACTTTATTCTTATACACATCTAAGGAGAAAATGCAAATATTTTGTAGTACCATTCACAATATTCATAAATTCTAACTGTCCATCTTCAATATTTCTTCTCAGAATTGATCATTTTTGAGAATATTTTTTATTTATAGGTAAATGTTACACCAAGGTCATATGGCAGAATTAGCATATGGTATTATACAGTCATCTTATTTTTTCATCCTTTATTAACAGTCATCTTTGGCTCTATTTCTTCTCTAATTGGAACATCATCTAGCCTTGGCAGTTGAACTATTCAATAGAACGATTAAATTTTTCTGACTGCTCTGAGCAAAATTGACCTGTTTTGACCTGTTTGTCACTGATCATAACCTGACAGGCGCTAGCAGCCTCCAACGATTATGGCTTTTGAGATGAATCTGATGCTTTATTCTTTTGCTGCAGCTCGTCACATGAGGAGACTGGGGCCTCCCATACTCTCTATGGTCATGGAGTTTGCAAATGGCCTGGCTGTGAAAGTGTTTGTGAAGATTTTGGACAATTTTTAAAGTAGGTGATTTTTTTATTCGTTGTGTACAGGGTTGTTTAAGGTGAGGGAAAGGGAAAGATGGGAAACAAAGTTTTAGTGTAAATCACATCGGAGATTTTTTTGTGTATTCCAAGCACCTGGATAATCGAGGCTATCCGCAGAGGGTCAAATTGTTATCCTTTCTTTCATGTCGAACACTTTTGCAGGCCTTTCAATAGCACAGTGTTTAATCCTCTTATTATCCCTTACTGAAATGGAGCCTCAGAAAATTTGAAGAGATGCTTTAGATTGTATATTGGATAGTAGGAGTATGAAAAAGCACATTTTATATTCTGACAGCTTGTGTATAGTGGAAATTAATGTGTATAGTATAAATAAAGAAGCACAAGGGACTAAGCGTGACCATTTAACACTCACTTGCTAATTTATTTTTGCTTTTACTCTTGTATATACACAAGATACACAGACAAAAAGCACTGTTAACAGGTGGGTTTGCACTTTTCTGGATTGAACAGTGATGTCAAAAGTTTTCCCTTTTAGTATCTGGATTTGCCAGCTATTGTCTAAATCAGGGCATTTAGAAAATAAGTGACACAGCTTTTTCTTTACATCTGCAGCTTCAAACTACAACAGGTTTCTGCAATTTATTTTATTTTTGTAAGTAGTTACCAGTATTTCTGTATTCATTCGAATTTTCAACAACAGCACTGATTTTCTACCTCTGTACATTACAGACTGGTCTTTATCAGAAGAGCTGCACTCATTTTGGCATGCAATAGATCTTAATGGAAAGCTACAGATAGGCTTATATAGATGAGTAACTTCAGGGGCTGAGACTCTTATGTTGTCATGGTGCAGCTAACAGGGTGAATGAACTGTTTCATGCTTCATCAACAATTAAGTTAATTAGCTCATTTGAAATTGCACTGCTTTGTTGCCAGGATGTTGGCAGAAACATCAAAAAGATGTTTTTACAAATGGTAGACTACAGGGTATATAACAGAAGCACCTTCACAGCAGACCATAAGTACTCAGTTTCACAATAACTTCTATAACAGTATTATAGTAATACTTTTCATAAAGTATTTGCAATGCTTTCTTCATTTTTCATGCTGTATTTCAGTTTTAAATGAAGTAACTTATACTGACTTGCAATTCTTAGGGAGGTATCTCTTGTGATAAATTTTTGTTTATAAGTGCATTAAGCAGAACGTCAAAATAATGGCGTATTATTGGGGAAAACTGTGTAGGATTTAGGTGAACCTGATTTCCATAAGTTTGTATTAAAAGGAAGACGAAATATCCTAAATTCAATGTAGAATTCTTAAGTATTATTAATACTAAGAATTTAAATTTATTTAGCTCAAGCATTCTCCTTTTCAAGAAAAACTAAATTTTCTAAATACATCCATCCTTCTAGGCTATAGTGGTGCTAATTTTGTGGGCAGACTTTGCACATCCATTATGTTAAGTCTCTTGTTATAATCCATGATCACTAAAATAATTTTGATTAAGGTGGTGTAGTGCTAGGTTTACAGATGCTCTTGCTTTCCTGAACCAAATAACCCTGGAAAATGTGAAAGCGACATATAACATCTTGATCATTCTGGTGCGGAGTCAGAATGGGTTTACAGCAGAGTCATGTCTTTTGTCCTGTGCAGCAGCAAAAAATGTCTGAGAGTATTGTGTTAATTCTTTTCATTCAATTCTGTCTTCTGTGCCCGTAAAACAAATAAGTAGTCATGGTGCTGAAAAGGCGAGATTGTTTATGAAATAGAAATTTACCTTCATTTCGCACTAGCCTAAAGATGAAAATCAATACATAACCTTGCATTAGATTCTTTAGTACCTTTTCATGTTCACACTAATGCAAAATCCCCATTACAATTAAAAAACATTTTCTTTCAATTAAATATCAACTTTTAGTCCAAAGATTGACCATTTTTCCAACCCATTAACTTTATAGGGGATGACAGGACTAATGGCTGTAGTTTTCAAGGCTTTGCTCTTAGTCTAATCTTTGTTACGTTGTTTTAGGTTCTCTGACTTGAAACAATATGATACCTGTGTTAAGATAGTTAATGCAAGTATACTGTACCAAAATGAAATATTAATAAGGTACACTACCCCAGTCTAGTAGTGTGTATTTCTATAATATGCTTATGACAACTTTGAAGAGTGCCTGGTTTATGAAGTGAACTCCAACTTCTTGTGCTCAGAAAATGGTTTACCTGGCAGCTTGAGTTAAAAGAAAAAAGGTACTGTGCAGAGCATCTGAGAAGGAGGATTAAGACAGAAAACACTGGCTTGGCTTCACTTTCCTAATAATGGAAAGGATTTAGGGTGAAATGATAAATAACTTGCAATAAATTACTTAAAGCCTCAAAAGCTATTTTCACCTTCAATTTTGTTTATCCATTATGAATTGTTTTTATTTTTAAGATAATTTGAGGACACTCCAATTATCTAGAATAGTTGTGAGATATTCTGAATAGCGTAAGAAGTTGTACATTGTGTGCTGTTGGCTAGATTCATGTTGGGAAACATATGGTTTCGAGAAAGTACAGCTGATCTTCTCCATGATATGTTTCTGTACATGTAGAAAAACCTAATCCTGTCTCTTTCAGTTGATATCCTTCAACTCTGGACAACAAGCCCACAGTTTATGGAGCAATTTTCTATCTTGACAAAATGGTGTTAGGTTATAGTTACTCATGCACACAAGATCAGTTTTGACTATTCTGTAAAAATAACAGCTTTTGGCTTAAGCAAAACTTCAGAATGTAAAGACAGATCAGAAAAAGTCGTGGCATAGCTAGAAAGTAGATGACAAGATTTAAAGAAAATGCCAGGCACTGAAATGATTAGAAGAGTGCCAAAAATGCTTATGAAAGTTCAGAATTTTACTGAGAAACAGGTGTTGACAGAAGCTAACCATTTTGCTGGCCTCTAAGTGAGGAACCCAGTAAATCACTAAAAGCATTTAATAGTACTTCTTCATGATGTTTTTTTAAATGTCAGAGTGCAATAGCATATGACAAAACTTCAGTGTATTTTGTCTGCAAAATTAATTATCATTCCATTGGTCATAAGTTAGTTTGAGTAGGAAGGGTTTGACTTCTCGAGCTCCAACTGAAAGGTTTACAATAAAACATTCCACCCAGCAGACAAGTGTTTTTAACCTGCATGCAGCAGACGCCAGCAAACATAATGCAAGCTGCAGGACAAAGCCGGGTAACATTTTCATTTATAGAGACAAGGGAAGAAAATCCAGCTTTCCGACAGATTGTGTTTATTTCTGGGGCAAGAGGGCACATTTAAAAGTCTACAAAGAGAAGTGACCATCGTCATTGTAAGGATGACAAAAACAAAACTGTAAAAAGAAATAAATTAATGAAATTTAATGCCATTGAAAACTTGCTGTGGTTTTCCCCCTCTTTCAGCTGCAAAGTGCTGCAAAGAATTATCTTCTTTTTTGCTTAGTGTGCTTTGTCCTTTTTTTTGATCTTTTTGTAGGTGGTGTGGCTGTAAAATTATGACCTCAAGAATCTTCCTTGAACTTGTCAGAATGTTGTTTCTTTTGGTGACAGTGCCACCATCTCTCAAAACTAAGGCATCTGACATAATCAGC